AGAAGTTATTCCTATACATTAAGTAAAAGTAAATAGAGTACCAAAACCAATACATTTTTTTTTATTTTTCTCTTTTTTTTTTTTTGACAGACACTATTTACTTTTAAATTAACTTAAAATGGCTTTATATGAGGTTGCTTTATGTATGTACAGAGAAGCCTTGAGTCTTTCTTGAAGCATTTTTCTTGTAGTCTTGCAGCTGCAACCTGCAAGCAAAGCTACTCTTGACTTCTGTTTTATGCCTCTAAGTGGAGGTAGGGCTGTTTGCTGAGAAGCCATTCTTTAGATGTTTGAAGAGACTTCCTGTCTTTTTACTTTCTATTTAATAAAAAGCAAATGACTTCTTTCCCCTCTTCATCTCACAATTTGTGTTTCTTCGGTAAATRTGATGAAGGTTCTGCATGTTCTGTGATCCTGAGGCTTGCAGCATGACAGAGAATGGGTGTTTTGACATCTGAGCTATCGTTTAGTCTTTCCTTCCATCAAGGTCTATGTATACCTTCGTATAATTGTGAAAGGAAACTCCTGAAAATATGAAATTAATTTAAATTACTTCAGCATTGCCTTCTTAAGGCCTCAAACAGTCTGAAGCAATATATCTGAGGGATGCCTAGAGCCTCCTTCATTTAGGAATATTGGGGCTGACTCATCTTGTGTCATAAAAAATAAAAAAGATACTTTTAAAGTAAAATGAGACTGCAACTGAATATTGCAGAGAGTGCTTTAGAAATTAAGGCTGACTGTTTTGGAAGATGAGCCTTTAACTTGGACTTACAGTTCCCAGAGTCAGGTTTTCCCAAAACATGGTAATAAGTCGCTGACAACTGATTTTACCTTTTAAATGCTAATACATATACTGTTGTATTACTCTAAATCTCATCASCATTTTATTTGATGTTTTTTAAAATGTACGTAATGATGGTCATGGTTTCCAAATTAAAATGACCCAAATTAAAATTTTAACTAGAAATAAGTATGGGTGGATAGGTTCAAATTGATCACATATTTGTTTTAATGTGTCCCAGTTAAGAAGTAATGTTCTGTGCTTGTTATTTGCATAATGTCTCTGTTGCCATATACCAAGCAGTTTCATGGTCTGGTGCATTGCATAGCAGGAGCAATTAAAACCGGGAACGGTGCTCCAAAAAGAAGGAAATTCAATAGAATATGGATAGTCCATAAAACTATAAATACTTTGACTAAAATCAGTCAACCAGGATAACGCTAGCACTCAGGGCAGAAGGAAAGATCATCTCGACTGAGCAGTATGAGTCATATAGTACATTTGTAGAGAAATGGTATCAGAGTAGATGCTCATGAACTAAACAGTGTGGCTTTTTGTTCTTTTTTTTTTCCTCTCGGTTCAAGTGCTTTCACTGTATGTGTCTTTTAAGTTATTATTCTGGTGGCAAAGGAACCAATTGCCTGGCTGCTTGCAGACGAATAATCTTGTACAAATTTGCAGAAGTCTGTTGGGCTCAAGCTCTTTAGAAAGATAAAAAAATCTTATTTCCTTTTTTTTTTCCCCACCAAAGTTATGAGGTTTTGTCCCAGCTATACCAATCTGTCACTGCAGCTGTCAATGTGGTGCCTTCTCTTCAGCGCTCTGGCATGGTCCAGTTTATGGTCCAGCTGCATGCACAACTCCCACTCAAGGAGAGGAAAAAGGCTGGTGTAAGGAGCAGATCAAGAGGAGATGGACTGTGTCAATAGAAGATTGTCAATAGAAACACAATATGAGGATTGAATATATGGATTATGCAGGTATGGATTATGTATGGATTAGGGTAAAAARTGCCCTGGAAATGGGGAAAAGAGAAAAAAATCAATTCATTCTGCTTGTTTTGGAGATTGGTCTGGATTTGTTTTGCTGCTGCAGAATTGTGAATACACTCTCTTGGGCCTCTGCCCTTCTTTAAAATCTAATTATAGAGTCTGGCAGCTCTCTATTCTACCTGTTTTATGGGAGAGCTGTCTCTTTCATGAACTACTTATTACTGATTTGAATTCATCCTGCAACGAAGGCAATTAGATACTTAAGCTTTTAGAACTCCCTCTTTACAGATAGATTATTTAGTACAGATAGATTATTTAGTACTTAGTACCATTTTGTTTGTTTGTTTGTTTTTCTGACAGAGGAAAGCCAGGTTAATAGCAATTAAATGTCTTTGTAAAGATCACAAAGCAGGTAGAACTACAAATAGAGCCCCTATGCTCGTCTTCAAGAAACCTCTTTCTTCTTCTCGCCTAATTTCAAATTTATGTAGATGCGTAGATACACAGTGTGGGAAGTGCTGTCCCAAAAACACAGTAGGCAGAGGTTTTAGAATTTGTTTTTGTGCTTGTTAATTTATACAAAACTGGAAGTGTTCTTGATGAGCTGATGAAGACTGTGATGGAATTTTCAGTATTTTCYGCAAGATCTGTGGGTATCTGTTTTAGGAAATTGTTGTATCCAAGAATGAGGTTTAAATCAGAAAAGATATAGCTGCGTCATCCCAGAATATAAAATCCTTCTGGCTTTGTGTTGCTACTGATCTTCTCTTGACCTATCCCTTTAGTACCTCTACAATGATTACAGGATTATTTTGATGTTATTGTGCGCTTCATGGTTTGCACTATATTTAGAGCTCTCTGTAGTGGTTGCAAACTCTTTCTTTTCAACTCTGCAGGAGAAAATCCTACCACTTTTTGTTAAAGCACAAGTTACAAACATGGTATCACTAACAAAATCAGCTTAATTTCTTGCACTTTTGCTAAATGAAATGTGCTACCTCAGGAGATCAATATTTCTCAAATTGCTGCATGTTGAACTGAAACGAAATATTTATGTTAAATTAATTTCCCTGTCCCTCCCAGAAAAACACGCCACATACAAAGACATGTGCACATGCACAGCCTTGTAGATACACAAACACATGCAAGTAAAAAGAGGAAAACAGAAATGGAAAACACAAAGATAGTATTAGCTGTGAATGAATGATTACAGTTACTATCTSCATCTGAAATTGTTACTTGTATGGTGAACTTTCTCATGTCTCTTTGATCAGAATCTTGGAAATCAAAAACCACCAGTCTGATAACTTATTTTTAACTATTCTAACCAGCAATAGAGTAATCCTTGTGATAAGATGAATATGGAAGGGTATTCTTTATAGCAAGCGAGTCATATAGAGGTCCTCCAAGAAGGGTAAGAGGGAAATATGCTATGTGTGGGTCTGTGTGTGTGTGAGCAACAGCTCTAATGTGCAGACTTTCACTCTTAAATGGATTATGGGGAGCCAAGGGGTCAGGATCAGATAGAAAGCCAACAAACAAAACATCTTGGTGAATGCCTCCTAGAAGCCTTGTATTAAGCCTTGTATTAAGCCTTCTGTATTAAGAAACATTAATTCTCCTGTGCTCATTACTCATGTGACTGCATCTGGAGTATTTTACCTAATTTTAGGTTCTCCAATACACGAAATAGATTTACTGGAGGATTATCAAGCTGGTAGAAGGTTCTTGTGCCTGCAGAGTACAACAGAAAACTGACAAAGTTTGATTTGTTCAGTCTAGAGAGGAAGAGGCTGTGAGAAGATTCTAGTTGCCATTCATAAGTTAAAGTTAATACATAAGTTAAAAAAAGAAGCCAAACATCTCCTCTTGGAGATGCACAGCAAAAGGGCAAGAAGCAACAAAAACCAGTTAACATTAAGGGACATGTTGATTATATACAAGGAAAAATTATTTACAGTGAGGATGGTTAAGCACTGAAACAGGGACCTACAGAGACTGTGAAATCTATGTCTTTGGTGTTGTACAAAACCAGATAGAGCAAGTGTCCAAAATCCTGGGAAATTCCTGAAGTTCTTTAGGTATTTGGAGGCAACATCACAGCTAGATTTATATGAGAAATGTGTATATATATATATATATATATATATATTTAAATTTTCCATGTAAATAGTTGTACTGGAGAAGGAAATCTTGAATTCCTCAAATAAGTCGGAACAAGTTCTTAGCATAACACTGGTCTCAAGGTCTAAAACTTTCCTTTTTCTCCTACGATGATCATCCATAGTACCCCTGAACCAGTAATAGGGGTGAGCAGGTTCTGCTTTTGCTCCTAAGAAGGAATAAAGAAGTAACTGAGCTTTCCTCATCCCCTGAATATTATTGTTTTATGGTGTCCCCATGATTACTATTTTTTGGTTCAGAAATCAGCCACATCAGAGCCTGGCTTTGAGTTACTCAGCCCTGGCAGGAGAGGGGAAAGAACTTAGGGCATTTCMAGGTGCCTCAAAGTTGGGAATGGTTTTCATCAGTAAGTTAAAGATTTGGCAAAGTGGCTTTGCAAATTCATAAATATTTATTAACCAGGTCTATATTTCAAATTAAACATCACCTGAGTTATGCCTGAATGATGCAGGTTAGCTACGATATAGATGAGTGGTATCTGTATGCATGCAAAAATGGTATTTATACTTTATATATAAGTAGTCAAAGCATATAAAATACTGTATTTTGACCTCTGCAAAGGACAAAAGATATTGTCTTTGACCTCTACAAAGATCAACTGATAGTCTTTGTTTTGTCCAAACCCCRAAAGTGAATTTGTAATATAGAGGAAATTGAACCTTTTATCCTCAAAATCCCCCGACCTTAAGGTCAGTATTTCATGCATTTTACAGTTTTACTCAAGGTTAAACAAATTAATATACTTGGTTTGTGATCCAAGCCTAAGGTAAAAGAAAAAACACAAGCTGTGGATTGAAGGTTTTTAATGGTTTCTTCTATCCTGAAACTGACTGAACAATATCTGAAATGTCAGTTCAATGGAAAACTAGACCATTATGCTTTTAACATATCATTAGAAGCATTTCAATATTAAATTTCTCTCTCTCTCTCTTTTTTTTTTTTTTTTTTTTTTTTTTTTTT